AGTAACAAGGGCTTAGAAAGAGATAAAAGGAAAGAAAATAGAGGGGATAAATATAAGAAATATGGTAAAGTCAGAATAGACAGAATATGGGGAAGTAACTCTGTAAGTTAATGAGAGGAAGATGTCAGAAATTAGTCAACAACTGTAACTTGCTATATTAAAAGGGAGACATTTCAGCTTTTGGATGATGCCTCCATGCAAAGAATTTAAGAAGCAAGATAAGTAGGGTGAACAAAGTGGTCAAAGAAACACCCATAGATAAGATCCCTACCTGGAATCTAAGACTGCAAATGCTATGTGCCATGCTGGTGTGCTATATGAAAGGTCAAAGGATCTTTGTAGTAATTCTGATATTCTTATAGAAATAGTTTATAAGAACATTTCACATAAATGGCGTCACTAACAATGTATGTCTTTCTGGACCCATGTGAAATCTTCTAGAGTGTTGACAATTTCAAAAAACTACCATTTAGTAATGCTATCAATATACAGGGATCAGTTAGAACCAACTTTGACCTATTCACCAAAGATAACTGGTCTTTTCACACTTGGGGTTAATTCTGAGCTCTGAAAAAATAAAAAGTTATGCTAAAATGTTGTTCTTCCCTTACTCTCTAACACATTTTAGTTTCAGAATGTTATTTTACCGTAGAAATATATATTAAACTAACCTATAACCATAAATATTAGCTTACCAACCTATCCTCCCGCGCAAATAGAAAAAAAATTAAGTGCTGCCACAGCTGCTGCTTATCTATGATATGCCATCTGGTCTAACCAGTCGTACACTGCACTGGAATATATACACACATACACATAGGCTATTACAATGTAAATCTAGAGGAATACATGTTTTTTATTTTAAAAGGCAACTTATTCACCAAAAATTCCTTGCATCAACACTTTCACCTCCTCTGCAATCCCCCCCCCCAAAAAAACCCCTCAAATTTTAAGAGGTTTCATTATAGAAAAAGTAATTGGTTTGGTACCTCTTTGTAAAGAAAAATTATGGATGCAATTGTGCATTAGTATTCCTGAAGATAAACCTCTCAATAGCACTGCATGGTTTAAAAAAAAAAGTCTGAGAAGAAATAAAAACAGATATAGAAGATATTCCAGATTTGTTCCCCGGGTTGACTTCAATGATGAAAATAAGTGACAAAGAATGCTAGGGGGATGGCTTGCAAATCATTTGCTTTTTAATTATAATCTCACCAAAAATTTGAATGTGCAATTCATGTTATTTGAAAATCCTATATTAAATTATGCTTAAAATATTTTATTCCTCCTCTAACTAACTAGGGCCTCTTATAAAGTTGGGAAAGGTTATATAATTTATCTTAGTGTTTGCTTTCTCCAACAATGGAGATATTATAGTATTGCCCTGAGGATGAATTGAGAGAGCCTGACAACAGTAAGCACTCCACTAATAATAGCTCCCATTACTCTTCTGACTTGCCTTTTTTCTTTTATTTGAAGACCTCAAATTCCTTACAAAAAACGATCTTATTAAAAGGGAACTGTCACTATGCCTTATGTACAGCCTATCTGTCTTCTGGGTTTACCCCTTAGTTCTTTTCATTCAGATTTGGAAGTAACTTTAGTATACCTCTGTGTTTGAGTAATACGTGTTCCAGGATGATCGCAGTGACTCTTGACCACCAATATCCCACATAAGAAAATGAGTGTTCTTCACAACTATTTCTTCAACATTGCTTCCTATGGTTGGAGATGTATGAACCACTTCATTCATTAAGCTGTTAAAAGACAGACACCATGAAAACTCTTTTGTAAACCTTGAGAACCTGAATCAAGTTTTATCTCTGTATTTTTATACGAATCAACCTTCCTTACCTGCACCAATGATGGTAATCATTAGCAACAAAACTAGAAACTTGGAGAACGTTTGTGCAAACAAATACCTAGACAAAGAACAACTCCTGAAGAAAGGCAGTTTTTTTGTTCTTTTAATGGAATAAACTACAGGCTTGATCTGGACAGAAGGGAACTGTGTGGTATGAGTTTGCATTTTTGTGGCCAAAATGCCAATAACCCCATGCCCTGTTATTGGTTAGAGCAGAACCAATCCCCCATCCTGAAAGAGCAAGTTTCCAGATGACTGTGTCATCAACACTTGCAAAGCAGTAACCACTGAATAGTAGGCTATCATTTTAAAGACTGTCTATGTGAGAAAAGACACTTAGCTCAACCATAAAAATCAGTGCATGCCTATTAACCAAAACTACAGTCTATGGGCAAATGAAAATTTATTTAGAACACTGATGCTCACATCACATGTATTATCATAATCATTGGTTAAGCTATATTAATTAATTCAACAAATACATATTTGCCTATAACATGTCAGTACTATGTTGGAAGAAGGCTGCAACTCTCCCTTGGGTTTAATACATGTATTTTTGAAGCTGTGTGCAAAATTATTTCAACAACGATGACAGGTTTCTGAAATGTTCATTTCTAATGTCCAAAGGCTGTGTCATATTAAATTACATAATGGCCAATGAATGAATGTTTTAAAGAAAAATGAGTAGTTATTCAACTCTGAAACAACAAGCCATAAGTTCGTGGCTTTTTAGCAGAGTAGCTGAAAAAAACATTAAGCACTGCTTAAGAGAAGTGTTTCTGGAGAGCTGCCAGCTGATGTACTTAAGATGAGGTGGGAAGAGATACGAAGCACACAGTGGAGCACTGTATTTCATAACTATTTGTTAAATGCCTGGGACACAGATCCATTTCCACTGTTTAACAAGGATCATTTCATTGGCACTGAAAGGATAATGGGAAGTTGTCTGACAAGTGGCTGTTAAAAAATTTCCTTAAAGTATTAATGTATTTCTCTGAAAGTCTCAAGCCTCTCCCTGTTGCAAGCTACCAAAGCAATATTTTCAGGGGCAATCTTCATTTCTTTTGATTTGACAAGTCTGGGTATGTTAAAGAATTCCAGAACTGTTAGGACAGTAGCAATAGCTTCCTAGATCGATATCAGTCTATTTACATGGACTTCAGAGGGGGAAGAACTAAGTGAAATGTACTTTATTCCTTCCTTCCAGCACTAGAATGTGTGCTTCATTTATTTTTAGTTTAATATTAATTCTTTCTTTCAAGGCTGGAAAAAGATGAGTGTTTTTGACTGTAGCAAACATACAGCAGTATTACTCAACTTTTTAATAAATTTTGTGTTTGTTAAAACACAAAACCATGTGTTTAAGTTTTCCCATTATATTATAATGGTATCTCATTCTTATTAATGATACAAAATTAGCTCCGATAACAAAAATAATAAAAACTGTTTAAATAAACACCCATACTTACAATTGATAAAGAATGGTGGTTTTCCCTGCATTATCCAGTCCCACTATAATTACTTTGTGTTCTACAAAAAGAAAGCAAACCATAAGCATTTAACACTGCTGCATACTTCAATTACATGCTTTCAACAATGATTATTAGTTAGCCTCCTAATGAGAATCATTCACTGGATATTTACTCCTGGAATAAGGTACCAGAAATAAACAGAACTTCATGATGTCAAGGCTACTTGCCTTAAGTGAGGCAATCTATTATGACATTCTCTATCTAACTCTTATAAAAGAATGAGGGAGATGGCTAAGAGGGAGGCACAAGAGAACTTTGTCACTTTTGCTGAATTTGGGGGGAAAAACCCAAATACTAAACTTGACGAGACATTATGACTTAAAATGTAAGTTAAAAAAAAGTGTTTTACACACCTGCTTGCCCTCTCTACCAATCACATTAGCTTTTTATCAAGTTGTTTTTACAGCCAGATGTTTTCCTACCTAAATGTACCAAGATTTTTTCTTTTCACTTTAAAATACAATTGAAAACATAAAACTAAAGAGTTATTCCTGTCAATAATAAGACACATAATTTCAACCAGTTTTCATTCCTTCCATTAATTTACAGATAAATAAGCAATTACTTAGTCTTCAAGGTTTTTTCAATCTGGGTTTTATAACTCTTTTGAGCAGATACTGTTTCCACTCTTTGTATATAACAAAAACCTCTTCAGTTCCCTCCTCTGGTGCCATGGGCTAAAAGTATCATTTCTTTCATAAGGATTTTTAAGGCCCATCTAATTATTCTGTTACTTGGTAGATATTTTGCAACATCCTTAGAACTCAGAGGTCATCTTGTCTAGATTTTAAACTATACAGAATATATTGAGGACTCCTCTTCCCCAGGACGGAATGCTTAAAAAGTTACTAGTGAAACTCAGCAGGGTATGCAAGGAAGTCACCATAAGAACCTCTGCACATAATCAACTGATTTGTAGTGAATTTGACACATTTCATACCAGATCCCTGCTGCTCTTGTTAACCTCTGATGAATATCAAAATTCTGATTACACATCTAATCAAATATCAGCTGATATTCCTAAAGTATCGATATTGCATCAGTCAAAAAGAGGAGCTATAGTTCACAGACAAGTTCTTATATGACAAACCATCTTTCTATCTTCTCATGACCTGCATGCTGGACATGCAGGACAAATGACATGGTCCTCTGGAAGGGCTATTTTCACTATGGCAGGAGCTACTTTGTAAAAAAAGAAAACTTGTTTGCTTATTATAACTCAGTATCATTCTCTCTTTCTGACTCTTTTGATTTGTATCCCCTAATTTCTAATGGAGCCAATCGAAGTGTTGCCCTGTTTCTGTCCCTTACAGTGTAAGAATGAGAGCACTCTTACCAGTGGAGGAACAAACATTCTAAATTTTGGTGAAATTTTGGTGACAGCTGGAAACTCCACCTACCCAGGATCTGGAGACCACGTGGTCCCAGCGGCTTGAGAAGGAAGCCACTAGTATAAAGGTAATCTCAACCTGGGTGCAGATACTCCTGCTGGGAGGAGGGAATGGAAAGATAGTACCAGGTAGTACCATCATTGTTGAACTCAGGTGAACACCAGGGCCATTTTCAAACGTGCCTGCCCCTGGCCTCACATTTGTATTATAATGATGATCACAGTACTGAAGGCCTGTGATGGTAAAACTCATAAATAATGCATCATTTTGAAAGATCGGTCCCCAGTTTAAACTAAGTCAGGAATGACAAACCGTGAATGTAGATAGAGTATGACTTTCATTAAAGTTTCAAATGTTTGATTAACTTAAGGTTTTTTAAGGTGACTTTTCCTCCTCATTGATAGGCAAGTCTAGGAATTAAGGCAAAACACAAAATTTCAACTCTGTCTTATGATGAAGTATGTATATCTATCCTTCAGGTAAACTGAGACCTATCTTCTGATGTTAAAATTGAGTTTATATAAAAAAGTAACAGTAAAGGAACAGCTAAATGCTTAAACGCATGAAATAAACAGAAGTTTATTTTAAATCTTTTCTTTGAAAACTGTCTTTAACATTATCTATACAATAAGAATAAAGTCAAGTTCAAAGAGCATTTACTAAAAAACCAAGTACAAAATAAAAGCTATTTGTACTCTATGCACAACTGTAATTCTTCCTTCTTTTTTCAAATGCCTCTGTTGTACTTAGCTGCTACTTGAGTATGTCAGTGACCAAAGACTTCATTCAGTTCACAAATGTTAGTAAAGTTTTTACCTATTCAAGGAACAATGAGAAAAATATGGAAAGTGACACATATTCTCCTTTTATTGAAAATAAAATTAATATGTTGCTTTAAATGTCCCCAAGTGGTATCTGGATTAATTAAGTATAGTTTCTCTATCAACTGTTCACATCAATACATACCAAAAGCATAACTACGATCACACAGTAGTGCACATTACTTGATGTTAAAAGGGGGCCCTCATGCTTGAAAAACATGACACAGGGGTGCTTGTTCTGTACTGCTGTCTTTCTGGTTGGGCATAATCAACAGGCCATATACAAATCTTATCTTATGTACTGAAACACAAAAGATCAACTAAGCTAGGTAACTGTCAGAGTGATTTCCTATAGGATAGCTTTGATAAAAACAATTTCCTCTGCCTGTCATAATTAACTAAAGCAGATGTGGAAAGATGGTTTTATTATGTATTTATCTAATAGGTTAAAAAAAACTTTCAAAATATATCAGTTATGGTTCAAGTCAGTCTCAAATTAAGGTGAGAAAGGCTTTATGCCAAAGGTAAAATTGTGAATTGCTGCCACTGAGAAAAACATGAAACATTTTCACATCATTTTTATATACAGAGCAGGAAGCAGAGATTTCCATTTCACTAAAATTGAAATTTCTCAAGTTATGAGGAGAAAATTACACAATTGTATACTTTTACAACTTCAACTGCTCCTCAGTATGTATATCTAAGCCATATATTCTTAACTTCCAACTCTTCACATCACTCTCCAGGAAAACAAAATATTTAGTTGACGGATTGAAACAGTTATTTTTCAGTTAACCTTAAAGAGGGCAAACTATAACATGGATAATACTAAATTCTTTATTTAGAATGGACTTCACAAATGTAATTATAGAAAATTTACTTTTCCCCAATGTTTACCAATAGCATTATTAAAAAATATATGATGTTAGAGTAATAGGCTGACGATGCTTAGGGGTAGGAATGTGTGTGTTGGGGACGGGGTGTGTACAATTTAAGATGATTTGTGGATAACTAAATAATTTTGGGTTAAGCATTACCATAAGAATCAGAGTTATAAGGAATCCAAATGTTTTAAAAGTGTGTCTGCACACCACGAGATGGTCACTTTGGGCATCTTATTTCACGAGAAATCTCTTCCAGGAGACCAAGCTGCACCTCTCCTCATAACAAAGGTGTGAGAAGAGTATTTCCAGTGTTACTAATGATGCATCTCCAGAGCCCAACACAAAGCAAGTTTATTTACATCAAATGAAGGAAAAGGTCCCATCACAGAGCTTTTGTTTAATTTTAACCAAGTGTTTATACATAAGTTTCTCTATTGGCTTTGCTTTGGTGTTTATTCTCTAGGATTTCCTTAAAAGCTGGCTTTACTTTTCTTTTCTTTTCTTTCTTTTTTTTTTTTTTTTAGGGAAGGCATAAAGACGTGCCTTTACAGGATGAAGCTTCAAAGCAAATTAGTAAGCTCACTTGCTTGTAGACAAATACAGGTTAAATGGCTAACAAGAAGAATGATGAAAAAGGAACTTAAAAAAAAATAAGTAGAAGAAAAAAAACAAGAAAAAAAAGTTTCTCCCTTTACCCAATAAAAAAAATTTTTTTATAAACTCAGTTTGTAGTTTTAGTAAGAATACCAAACAATGAAAACAGACTCACATGAGAAAAGCATTATAGAAGCACTAAATACTGGCAGTGTTAATAAACTGTGAAATAATATGTTAACATGTATTTTATCATGTTAAAATTGGATATTGTTAAAATGTATGACAAAATAACTAACTCTTAATTTTGAGATATAAGATAGCCACCCAAATATCATGAAATAGGGATTGCTACCTTCTAGATACATAATACCTGCACTAAAATTGTTATATAATGAGAACAAGCCCTATGTGAACACAGAGTATGTAAACAACTATATAACTAAACAAATAAAAATGCCCTATGCCAACTCTGGTGACTTAAAATTTGAAATACTGCATTTACAAAAAATAAGTTTGCATTATTGCAATAGGTAGGTAGTAAAATGTCAGAGGATATGGTGTCACAACCTGAGACCTGAAGGCCTGGACAGCCACGAGCAGTCTGCCTCTTGGAGAGAACAAAAAGAAAGAAAAAGGAGAGCTATAAAAAACTGTCTTATATTATACTAATTATAGAATCATAAAATATCATAGCTTAGAAGAGACTGCAGAACGTGAGATCTACTCCTTCTCTCGCACTTCTTCGTCAACAAATGTGTTACCTATATGGCAACTCTGAGGAACCCAGGTCTCCAAAAATGCACAAAACTACTGACCTGGGCCACCTTGCATATTTTACAGATAAAGAAATTACAGGCCTATGAAGTTAAAAAAAAAAAAAAATCAACCCAAGATGCTATTTTCAGCAAAAATACACTTCAGGAATGAAGGGGAAAAAAGACATTTTCAGATCAAAGAAAACTAAGAGAATTCATTTACCTGCAAAACCACACTACAAAAATGGTAGAGTTCTTCAGCTTGAAAGGAAATTCACAAGATGGAAATTCAAAACATGAAAAATAGTAATGTGGGTAAATATAAGAGAAAATTTTACCCTCTCTTAAAACTTTAAAGAACATGTGATTGTCTATGGCAAAAATTATAACACTGTATTGTGCACTTCATAACATATGTAGATACAATACAAATAACATGTAAGCTGTATGGTTATAAACGACACGGGAGAAGAGTATGCAATTACATACACAGTTTCAAGGTTCTTACACTTTACAAGTGTTACATTTTTAACTCTAAGTAGACT